AGCTTAAACTCAACAACTTTTATTATACACGCTGTAAATCACAGTGATTAACAATCTTGACAACTTACCATGACTACTGTTCGTTTTAACCATACATTTCATTAACGCTGGCTTTTCTCGCCAGGCTTATATACTAACAAAGAGGCTACCCAAAGTTTTTATTTTTGTTAGAAAATCACCAAATTCACTTAAAGAAGTAATCTTAATTCCGTGTGCGGGGTAAACAGAAACAGGGGTTTCTGAGCGCCCCTGATTGTCTATCAAGCCTCGAAAGAGTAAATTTGGTTGGTCTGATATATCGTTAATAGTTTCGGCTAGATAAATCGAGAAACAATACTGAATTCCGATAAAACTAACTAGAAATTAATGGAGAAGAAATACAGAATTCCGCTAATACTAACTAGTTAGGCAAAGAAATAAGTGTACTGAACATAAATTTTGATGCACAATGTACTCGTGTTGGATGCTGAACTGTCGCGTTTACTGGAGCTATGAGTTCACCCAAACGAATTTCCAAATTGACCAATTCACTTAAGATGATCTTTCAGACTGCCCATGTCTCATGTGACATAGTTGAAACAGTAACGCAGAGCAATTCAAACGCATTGGAGGTCGTAAATTTGTGATACCACCTGATCTAACATTGTTGGACATTTCGTTCATGGGCAGAACGGGTATGATCCCAACAGAATGACAAAGGGATGAAGGCAGCTAAAACAAAATCAACTTAACGACTTTCTTGACCAGCTGTTATGTGAAAATTACACATACTTAGAAAAAAAGAAAATTTCGGAAAAATTCTTATTTAAAATGGAACGTAGAAAACACATGGTATGCCTGAATACTCCACATATAAATTTTTGTATTATGATGTCCCCATTTTTAAGATTTCATCTTGTGTTTACTTAAAGTTAAATGCTTTTATTTCTAATCTCACTTTTTAATTAATGCATAGCGGATAAATCGAGAACCATAGAGATAAAAAATATTTTTATCTCTATGCCGAGAACACTTAAATTTGTGAACACTCGTCATTATTGCTTTGCCTTTAATTTCACCAATAAATTTATTTTCAAGGCTGTGACTTAGCGCTTATATAAGTTTATTAACTTTAAACGGTCTTGTTTGTTAAATTGTGTTCGAATAAAATATTTTGCGTGTTGTAACTATTTACTAAATATTTTTGATGTGATTTTAATTAAATATTATATACATCCTAAAAGAGGGCATTCGTGAATTACGAGTTATATATCATTGTTACTGTAGGCTTGAATTTTCAGAATTAAAGTTAATATTTTTTGTTATTCTTAAGTAGTTAACTGGGTGATTTTGTTTATCAACTGTATGAAAATCTTGAATAGGATATTTTGCCTCCAACCACGTTTATTCAACATATATATATATATATAAACGCTAATAAGAAGTTGCCTGCAACTTACAAGTAGTAAATTAGACGGTAATATAGCTTCGCAAGCTTATGTGGAATTGACGGTCTTAAAACTTAAAACACAATTTTATTCTCTTGAGATGTTGTTTGTTTAATAATATTTAACATTTTTTGATGTGTTTGTGTAGCGAATAATTTTAGTTACTATTAGTATTATGAAAAATGAATAAGGAAATTTGAAGTATACAATTGTGTGTATAACTATAATTTTGAGTTAAACAATAAGCAACACGTTTGAATACACTATGAAACTTAAATATTGTAGCATAATAAATACATACGTTTTTAGCCGATTTTAACTCAGTGGTGTAAAGAATAGTGGAATAAACATTCTCTGTTGGCAATAAATATTAAAATAAAAGATGTCATGCTTGTAACTTTATGACAATGTGTGATAATGTGTTTAAAAACAAGGATCCCTTTTCTGTTAAAAATTTAGACTTACAGACTGCTTACTATACAAGTATAAACTTGAGCTTAGAAGTTACAGTGTGGTGCAAAATTGCAAAATCATGGGTCCCACACGATTTAGTTACATTGGTTATCAGCGTTCATTATGTAATTGCTCTATGCAAATATAAAAGCTTTGCACTACTAGTAAAATTTGAAAACTTACACATTTGCCCCACTACTTACACTACTCTTTACTTACATTCACCAATTTTCATTTTACTATGTATGTGTGACTTGTAAGAATGCATGATATACTTGTTTATGAAAGTTTCACACTGTGAAATTACATATTTTGTGATAATTTAAATTATAATATAAATATATATATATAGCTAGAGCATGTTGAATATGAGTATGTTTGTATTATGAAACTGACACAAGCTTCTCCTACTGGTGACGTACAAATACAGGGTGAGTCAAAATTATGTATAAACACTTTGATATGTTGTATCTCAGAAAGTTTACTGAGTAAATAGGAACCAAAAAATGTTTCAAATACATCAGATACATAGAAAGGTGATACATTACAGAAGTTATGTCAGATGTTCAAAATGCCCACCACCAAAATGCATACATGAACAGTATTGTTTCTCAACAGCTCAACATATGGTGGTGCGTATATCAGTTCTAATTTTGCTTGCTTCCTGTTGTATCATTATCCACAAACCCTGCAATGTTTGTGGTTTATAACTGTACACTTTATCTTTCAGGTATCCCCATGCAAAAAAGTCTAGGGGAGTGAGGTCTGGAGACCTTGAGGGGTATTCAAAAGCATTCCCCCTGTGACCTATCCACCGTTCTGGAAATTCATTATCCAGATAGGCACGGACATTTGAGTGAAAACGTGGAGGTGCACCATCCTCTTGAAAGTACATCAATGTATATAGAAACAGGTTTCTTATTGTGGGAACTGCATCATTCATTAACAATTCAAGATAACTCTGCCCAGTAACAGTATCATTGAATCTGTAAGGTCTGATTATCCCATGAGAGGAGAGTCCCATCCACACACTAAACCCTGGCAGGTTAACATCTTTCTGTGAAGATAAGTGTATATTTTAGCTGTAAAATGTACAACATTTCATTCAAATTGGTCATGCTGTCTACAAAATATGGCTATTTAAAGTGTTTATACATAATTTTGACTCACCCTGTATTAATGTTGTGAAAGATTAGTTAAGTTAGGTAGTCAAAAGAGATGTAACCTTGTGGTTTAACCACTAAATAAAAAACCCTGCCTTGAGCTTAAATGAGTTATTGCATGAGATGTAGTTAAAGCAAATTATTCCTGATTGCTATTCGATATTGTTATTGTTCTTGAAGTGGTTTAATTTTGGAAAATTGAGTTTTTTTGGAATTAGGTTTGTTTCCTCTTCTGGTTCTTTTTTCCTAATTCATTTATTTATTGAACTTAATAATACTGATATTTATGTGGTATTGTTCATTAACATTTGTATCAAGTCCTGACTAGGCATGTATTTATTAACTTTTTTTTTGTAAATGATATAATTTGTATTACAATTGTTTTAAAGTTTTATTTTGGATTTCTGTGGTTGTTAAAAGTTTCATAAATTATTTTTTTGGTTCGACCCTGGTTGTAGCATCATTTTGTTTTACTCCATTACAATGGATTTACAATTCAAAAGAAATATTAAAAAAATTCTAATCCATAATTGTGTAAAAGGTACAATTATAAAGAATGGTATGAATTTTGGCTTTAACTTGACAGCTTCAGTTTGCAGTATGTTCAAACATTTATAGATTATTGCTCTTTAATATAATATTCATATAAAAAATGATTGCAACATATGTCTTTGACATTGGTATATTACATTTTATTTGCACAGTAATCAAATATAATAAAATTATCACATTTCTAGTAACTTGGTTCCAGAACCCGTGACGAGAGAGTTTGTCATGTCAAAGAAAAATTGATGAAAAAGCCCCTTTTTTTTAGCTCATTAATAAGGCTGTGAGTTTCTGAAAATCTCAGTAATTACCATCTGTTTAGTAAACTAATTGCATTTACATATTTAAAGCAGAGTTTAAACATATTATTTTTATACTTTACACACAATTTACCACAAATAGTACTGCCTTACATGATTATAAAATAAATTATTATTTTCGTTAAGAACATTTGGTTTATTCATGATGTATGTAAAATATTGTTACATCAGTTGTATTGACAAATAGTAGGCTACATTACTATTACTGGTAACATTAATCATTACTCACCCATTATTAATAATATTCTCTTAGTGTACTGTAACAACAGGTTAATATAGTCAGTTTAATTTGGATATCGCCTTTTAAGTTTTTCTTATCTCTTTGTAATTGCATTAGTGATTTATTTGTATAGGAACCTACAAGGGCTAATTTCACTAGCTATGTCTTGATTCTGTGATATTCTAAGTTGAATAAATAAATAATATTTAACATTCTTCTAATAGTTTTTCTTAGTTTTATTTCATAATGATAAAAATAAGATCATTTTAACTAAAAACAATCTAAAAGCTGTTTAAACACTTTGTATGAGTGGCATTTTACTTATTATCTATAGTGGTAGTATTCTGTAAAATTAATGACGATCAATGTATATTTTACAGGTAGTGGTGTTACGCTGCAGTAATTATGCATCAAAGAAAGGTTTTACAAATATTACTTCATTTTCGACACCAGAATTTGCGATATTTTTGTTCTTTACCAGCAACAATGAAAGTATGGCAGACCTACAAATATGGAGGCCCTGAAGAGTTGGTATTTTGTGACACTGCACATGTGCCATTCATTTCCAAACCAAATGATCTGCTTGTCCAGATACATGCTGCAAGTGTTAATCCTATAGATGTGAGAATGTTGGGTCAGTAAAATGTCCTCAAAGGAATTTATAATTTTTTTTTTCATTATCCATCTCTTCGTAGTCATACGTTTCACAAGTCATACCATTTTACATGTTAAATACTAAGGGTCAGTTAGAATAATAATTTCATACTTAATACAAATGACTCAAATAACACAATAAAGAGCTTTAATATACATTTCATCAATTTTACTTTGCACCATTAGACAGTAAAACAAAAAGTTTAAGCATGTAAACACACTTTTTTAGTAGGGAACACCAGTTTTAGCTTATAAAAGAAACAATAAAATCAATAATTTCTAACCAAAATAAGTCTTGTGAATGAATAATTGTCAGTTAACATGTTATTACTACTGGTTTGACACACACAAACACTAGTCTATAAATATGTAACTTCGGGTTCTGATTTATACTATGAAGAAAATATTACCAATTAAAAAAATCATCTATGGAATTAAATGTGTGGGTTACATTAAAGTAATTTCATTGGCTCTGAATGACAGGAAGATAACCTATTATAAAATAGGTGACAAAATAACCAGCATTCCCTGTGTGTTAGGTGAATAAGAAGAAAAGTAATCATGGTAGTAAATAATTTGGTACATTAATGCTACAGTGAATTCAATCAATATCGCAAGGGCACTTTTAGTATGCTCAATTTTATGATTGAAGTGAAAAAATATTTGAGGCAATTTAATTTTTACAGTTAGAATGAGTACTTCTATATATTTTGTTATAAAGCAGATTCTAACTGTAATATAAGATAGCCTCTAATTGTTGTTGTTTTTTTCAGTTTGGAAAAGAAAAAAAAGTGTATGATTTAACACAATTCATATGAAGCTATTTTTTATATGTAGATACAAGTAAAAAACACATTGGATATCATTGTTTGACTTTAATCTAGTTGGACTAATGAGAGCAGACATAGCACCAAACCGTAGCTATAAGCTGGTCCTGGTATGGTATTTCTTGCAAGGAATCATATTTCTCTTCCTATGTGAATAAAATTTTTAAACCAGTAATAATCAATGTTTTACTAAATTTTTATTTATTTATTTAAGTCATTGGGAATATTCACAATTTGAGTACAAATCTGTACAAGTCTGTTCTTTTGAAATAACTGTTTCAAATAATTTCTTATTAACTTTATTCATATGACTTCTTCATATGATGTTAAAATACTAAGTTACCATTTTTTTAAATGCTGAATCAACATAATATTCATAATTAACTTTCTTTGATTTGTAGAAGAGATTGCCATATCTGTTGTTGAAAAATGTGTTATCCAACCACCTACTTGTATTGTAAACCCAGTTATAAGAACAATTAACTTTCTTCATTTGAGTAATAGCAAAAGCCAGCATTGCACTCAACGTATGGTTATTTGAAATATTATATGGATTTATATAATGTTGTTAGAGTTTTATTATGAAAGCTTTGTGAAAGAATGGTCCAATATAGAGATTATGCTTTTGAGACAAAATGGGTAGTTATAACACAAAGTATTTCTGTTAAGATTCACATGTAGATCTATAAAACAGACAGGACAGAGAAATATAGCCAATAATTTTCTAAGTTTAAAATCAAATCAGATAACCTCTTCAGAAATCTTGGTCATAATTTATTTGCTGCTGCCTAAAAAAAAACAGTCAAAATCATCAACATTTATTAAGTTTTAACAATTTATTCTTTTGTAATGAGAAATGGTTGAGATCAAATTAATGTTTTATTTTGACTCAAAATAATATATTAATATTTGATGCTTGTCTAATTTTATAAAAAAATTAAGTTTCTTGTTAATCAAAAGTTGTTTCAAAGATAACTGTTCATATTCTGTTAAATTTGGTTTTATAATTCTTTATCAAAAGGTTTATGCTTTCAGTCTATTACTTTTTCTGAACAAGTTACAAGAAAAAATAAATTTAAAACAGACATGAAATGGAGCCTTACATATTATTTATTAGTTTGCACTTAATGATCAATTATTCTAGCAAAACATTCAAATTCATTTCTAAATTCAGATGTAAAGTTATTTTCTGACACATCAGCTAAAAAAAATTTAGATAAAAAGAACATAACCAGAAAAAACTGCATTTGTAATGTGCATTGTTCATTGTACATTATTTTTGACAATGTGTTGAGATTTTAATTGGTTTACAATTTGATACACATATATCAGTTAATCAAGTAAAATTAACTTAATATTAAGCAGTTGATTTCTGAGGAAGTATTTATCTTTTTTAGAATGGAAAGTTAAAGGTATTTCAGTATCATTGTCATGGTTAGTAACTTACAGTCACCAAGACTAATTACTAATTAGCATCCTTTTTAATTGTTAAATTTTAATGCCAATTACTAACTAGATTTTATCCTATGTTTCAGCTGCTAATATGCTGCCATCATCATGGAACTATTTTCTGTTGGTAGTGGCCGGGAGTCAATCCTGGGTCTTCTTGATGGAAGTTTGGTGCATTATCTACTCAACTGGGGTCTCTTCCCCTCCCAAAAAAGTTACTAATTAAAAATTAGACTTATGTGATTGTATAGACTACTAACCATGACAACCATTGATATCCAATCACCACAATCTTACTGTAAGTGTGTATTTCAACATGTTCCAATAATAGTTTGATAAAATTATGCACACTAGTGTGCATACTATATCATAACCAAAAAAGCAACTTTACAGTAATCAATCCTCAAGATAATGTTTTACACATTTTTTAAGGAGACACTGTAATGATCAATTTGTACCTTGTGTTAGTTTTCTGCAGCTTACAGAATGTGTTTGTTACATGATGACCTTGGTAATTTTTGACCAAAAGATATCAATTGTCTAAAATTCTTCTTCTGAACAAACTAATAATTTATTTGGAAAATGTTTAATTTGAGAAAAGCATATTCATCTGTATATAGACGGTGATGTTCTCACAGCTTTACTTAGTTTCAGTAGTATTTAAGAACATTAGGAATAACCTCATGATACGTATGTGCAACGAATTCATTGAATAAAGTTTTTAACTAACGTGCATTATTTTTTGTATTTCTTGTTTTAGGTAACTTTATACCTTTCTTCTCATACGGATACCAAATTGAACTTTTTTTTGTAGTATTACAAATCAGAACTTCAAGTTAAATCAGTTATTGTGTCAGAATTAATTAATGTGGTAATATAATGTTTTATCATTTTCAAATAGCGTATTTCAGTTTAAAATAAGAAAATATGGCAAATAAAGGTGAAATTAATTCAGTTCTATTTAAATTGAACTAAATATGTGATTAAGAGATGTTTATATATTTATTTGGATTAGTTATGTGGCTATCTACAGTACTAGTGTTGATATATTATTTTAAGTTTGTCTTTTAGTTGTTTCTAATAAATTCAAATATTAAATGTACAAGGCAGAGTGATTTGTACTTCTGGGTTTTTACATGTGTTTTGTAGAATCTTCCATGTGCATGTTAGTGTAGGATTTTTGTCCTCAGGAAGACTAATCACTAAAACATAAATTAATTTGGAGTAATTATTTTGTATATTTCCATACATATTTTTGTATGCTTTGTTAAAACATATTTTACACTGTATAACAGGTGGTTATGGATCAGTGGCAATTGGAACATTGAAAAGACTCTGTGACTTCCCACAAGATCCTGCAGAATTTCCACTTACCTTTGGAAGAGACTTCTCTGGTGTGGTTATAGATACAGGCCGTTCGGTTAAGAATTTCAAGCCTGGGGATGAGGTTTGTAGTTACAAAGTTTGGATTTAGGACTTAATTAGTTTACTTCTTATTCAATTTAGGTTTTCATTTGTTTGTTTTTTACATTTTGCATGCGTTTACTTTTTTACCTAATCTCAGTAAATCTTAAGTTTTTAATTATGTAAAACATGTTTCATTAACTGCAGAAATAACATTGGTCTAAATACATAACTATTCAATAAAAGTGTAAACTAATTTATAGTAAAATCCCAAATAAGCATAAAGCAAACCATTTCCAAAATTTGCAACTCTTATGGGGAAGTGATGCTGCCAAAGAACAATACTAGAATATTATTTGTAATCTTATCACTTCAACACTGAAACAGATTTCTATATGCAGGAGCTGGGTGTAGCCTAGTAGTTAGCATGGCAGACTTTGAACTGGAGGGTCAAAAGTTCATGTCTTATTGTTCCAAAATCACACTCTTCACTTTGGGGCCATGAGTGTGTAAAAAGAATTATAGTCAAATCCTGCTACTTGATAAGAATAGTCCAAATGTTGGCAATGGGTGCTGTTGATCAGCTGCTTTCCCTCCTGTCTGTCAGCATAGAATTAAGGATGATTATCACACATAGACCTTGTGCAATAGTGGTTTCGTATGGTGTTTCTCACACCTCCAAATTCTGTTGGAGGTGAGTATCCGGGAATAGGACTGGCATCCTAGTCTGGACACCGGGTAAGCATGTTTTGTGACTGGGATTCGAACCCTCGACCCACAGATTGCGAGTCGAGTGCCCTAACCACCTGGTCATGCCGGGCCACCTTGTGCAATTTTAACCCTTTACCATCTCCACCTGTATATGTACATCAAATGTCTCATGTGCCATTTAACTACTTTGGGCCTGGTTTGTTGTGGTCAAAACATTGCTACGATAATGGAAAAAAAATCTTTCATGAATGAGAAGGAGTTAAGCAAATATCCAAAACAGGCAGTCATAAAAACCATATGCAGTGTATCTTAACTTCTTGAATGAAAACTTTAAAGACCACAAGTCAGTATCTTTAAATCTATTTCCATTGTTCAAAGTTCTAACTCCAGTATTGTTCTAAAAACCCATCTTTGCACTTTTTTACCAGCATACTGATATCCATTTTCTAGTAAGAGCACCTACATTCCTGTTGTCTTTCCACTTTGTCAGTCTATCAACATAAGTGGCATGTCTATTGTCATTGGTCCATCCACCACTCCCTTCCTCCCACTGTAAACCACCTTTCTGCCTTCTTTACTTAGTTGTTCAAACATGGTTTGTTAGTCTCCACCATTGCTGGTTATCAGGCAGTGTTATCCACTACATTTTATCTCTCCCAGTATCACAGTATTTTCTTCCCTGTACTCTTTTCTGCTCCTTCCTTCTTCATCAAACTCCTTGCCCAACTCCCATGCCTGATTGAGATTATAATGTGGTTTTACATTCTCTCAAGCAGGACCCATTTGAGCTGTTAGCTTCTCGCACTTTATACCACCTTTTTTAAGACTTATTTCCTCCTTTTTTCACCTGTGGTTGCCATTATTCGGACATCTGTGCTATTGATTCTACTCATAATGTCTTTCACTGTACTTATTTTCTCCTCTACCCTTACCATTCTTTTATTCCTCCCTCTGCCACTTAAGAAGGTGACCCACTTTCTCTCCTATGTCCCTTTTTTCTCTCTGTCACTTTTGTGATCATTCAGACCTTGATCAGCTGCTGGGTTCTGTTGGAGTTGTTCAGTGTTACTTATAACAAATCCTCCCATTTGAGGGTCCCTGTCATCATTTTGTTCCTACCCTGGACCCCTCTTCTTCCAGGGTCCACCAACTTCTCTGGTTGGTATATGCTTCCCTGACTGTGGATGCTTGCAGGCTGTTCCACATTTCTTCACATTAAGTTCATTACTTGATTCATTCTCTTGCTTTCCAATTTTGCCAGCTTTTGGAAGAGATCCTCTGGGCAGACATTTCCCCACACGTTTGTCTTTTGTTATCTCCACCATCTGGCTGTTTCGTCTCCTGCTATATTTTGACTTCCACTGGTTGCTATTCTTCAATTGACCCACCATCTTTGAAATGGGTAAATGTATTTATTTTGTATTTTCTCTCCCTTTTCATTGTCCAGGTGACGACTGGTGTTGCCTTCCAGGGTGTACTTATTTCCCATATTCCATATGGAGCCAGGATTAAGGATTACTGAAAGCATTCAAATCACCCACCCTGGCTCTATCAGTGACCTCTGTGAGATGAGATGTTTTACAACCCCACTTGAGGTATCCTCTTGATGTACATATTTACTCAATTGTCTAATCTAGACTGTACCAATTCCATGGGATATCATAGAAAAAAGCCAGTTGTATTAAAAAATGCTTCTTCTAACATATAGTTCCAAACTGTATATGAAACTTAGCAGTATCAGTGGCACAAATATGCTTTGACTTGAACATAATGGGACCCTCAATGAAAATGAAAATTACCAACCAAAATGTTACTGATCTTTTATAATATCTAAAAGGAATTATTTTAATACTGGATTTGCTGAAATAAAGATTAATTATATATGTTGTCAGCTGCTGTGGTATATTTTCAGTTGTTCATTTGTATGAGATAGTAAATTTTAATCATGTACATTGTTCTTACAGCTGTTTATTGATATAGTAGCTTAGTTCAGTATAAGTTTGTAATATTACTTAATGTGTGCTAAAAAACTGAATTCTGTGAAAATGTGCTCACTTTTAACAGGTCTGGGGAGCTCTTGGAGCTCAGAGGCAAGGAACTCATGCCGAGTTTGTTTTGGCAGCTGATTCAAGTGTAAGTACACGTGTTTTAGTATTTTATCTAATACTTGAATCATTAGAATATAGTAAAATGCTAATAAGCTCAGGAGCTTGTTACTTTTGTTAGGGAAATATCCAAGAATTGATATAACTAATTAAAGTTTTAGTCTTATTTATCTTGTTTAGGTCAACTCAGTTTGTTTTTGTTATGGAAACAAATTAGTTAATTTTATGTATCTCAGCTTGCAGATAACCTTTGGTAAGGTATAACATGAGAGATTGAATAGGAAGTTATATTCCTACACAATTGGGGAAAATGTTAAGAAATGTAAAAAAAAATGGATTGGTGACAGAAAACAAAAAATTGTAGTCATCAGACATTCTTCTAATTGGAAGAATGTAGCTAATGGCTTCTTCATGTTTCTATATTGAAAGTTTATTGTTAGATATATATATATAAGTCTGTTATTTTACAAGTTTCTTGGTTTGCAGTGTGCCTAAACTCTCTGATACTAAATTTATGGGTAGGATAATACTGTTGATAGTATTTCTCTTATTTAGAAGAGCCTTTTAAGCCTTACTGACTGGAACTAAATGTGAGAATAGGTTTTAATTTTGAAAAGTGTAAAGGAATGTATCTGAGGTGTATAAATTGCAAATCTTCGGTTTTTGAGAGGAACATGAAAAGTTCCTGAAGAAGAAAAGGATATGAAGGTGACTTTTGAAAAACTTTTCAACTAAGAGCATAGCTGGGCTAAAAAGGATATGAATGTGACTGTTGAAAAATCTTTTCAACCAAGAGCATAGCTGGGCTGAAAAGGATTTGAAGGTGACTGTTGAAAAACTTTTCAACTAAGAGCATAACTGGGCTAAAAAGGATATGAAGGTGACTTTTGAAAAACTTTTCAACTAAGAGTGTAGCTGGGCTAAAAATGATATGAATGTGACTGTTGAAAAACTTTTCAACTAAGAGCGTAGCTGGGCTAAAAAGGATATGAATGTGACTGTTGAAAAATCTTTTCAACCAAGAGCATAGCTGGGCTGAAAAGGATTTAAAGTGATTGTTGAAAAACTTTTCAGCCAAGAGCATAGCTGGGCTGAAAAGGATATGAAGGTGACTGTTGAAAAATCTTTTCAACCAAGAGCATAACTGGGCTGAAAAGGATTTGAAGGTGACTTGGTCAAAAAACTTTTCAACCAAGAGCATAACTGAGCTGAAAAGGATTTGAAGGTGACTGTTGAAAAACTTTTCAACCAAGGGCATAGCTGGGCTGAAAAGAACTAATGAGTTTTGGCATTAATTTGTAAGAAAATTTAATTTTGAGAAAAAGATTACTGTAATATGAATAACACAAATAGTTACATTTGGAATATCAACTTGACATTAAAGAGATTACTAGAATGATATTTGGTTTAAAAAATTGGTCTATTTGAGTGATGTACTGAAAATGTTTTCAATGCAAACTTGAATATTAGGAAATGTTAATATCTTTAGTTAATACTGGAAGATTAAATTTCAGGTTTCTTGTGAGATAAAATTGTTTTCTAGTTCTTAACCTGTGAAATTGTTTGCTTTATGTTCACTTTGGTGTGTACTCTTTTTTTATGTTCTTATAAATAGTTGTGTGATATGCAGGCATATCATATGTTTTCTACTTGCTTTAGTGATGTAGAAATTTGTAAAAAATTTAGTTTATTTAGTTTTTATACAGTTTATGCATAAAAACTTGGTTCAGAAAGTTGAGATTGTCTTGTTGTAGTTGCTTTGTTTTTAGTTCTGTGTAGTAGATAGTGTCTATTCTGCACAAGAGGATATTACAGTTACATATATCATCTAAGTTGTAAGGATTAGCAACTGTAATATTTTTTCTGGCTGACTCGACACTTTCTGTATATTACAGCAGATGAATGCTGTGAGAAAATAAATGTCACGAGGTGATGCTGTCAGCTAACAAAGAAACTTAGTTTACCTTTTCAATTCAGGTGTACTTTCTTAATTCAGTCCTACTTGGAGTTCTTTCAGTACAGATATACTAAACAGGATGTTTACTGTGACAGAAGTGTATTCTGAGAGAAAGAAACCTGTGGATCTAATACAGTAGAAGCAAGTGTTTTTTGTATGTGTGCAAGTATGTATGCCTCATTGTCTTTTTGTATGTTTTGTAATAAAGATTGTATTCACATAGTTAAACTTGTCCAGTTTCATTACCTGTCTCTCTCTCACGCCTGATAGGAAAACTCAATCAAGTTATCAAATACAGATTGCTCTCTATCTAAAAAACTTGTTGGGAAATCAGTTTCCACCTGAAAATACCAGAAGTAAACAGGAAGGAGATATTCTGGTGCTGTGTCATCAGGATTTACTGTAGAGTTTCTGAATTGATAACATTCATACTAGCCCTTGCTTAATCTCTTTAGTTTATTGAGTTTAAAGGAATGTCTCTTATGATTAGAATACATTTTCTGGACATAGAAGTATTCATGACCAAGAGGGAGAGTTTAGAGGGATGAATGATTGTACAGGAGAGATTTAAAGTTTAGGAGAACTCCTCTCCTTGGTCTAGAATTTTCGTCCATATTGTGGAGGTCTATGATACCAGTAAGCCTGCAACTGCTTACACATAGAGATTTGCTTACATCTGAAGCACCAAGTACACGGTACCCCTGAGGATCAATCTCAAAGGTAGGGAAGCACAGACAGCTGAAAGTCATTGAAGTTGATGGTACCTAGTGAGTTGGAGACCTTGTGGGGAGATCTGTTTTTGAACTCTTAGGCTGCTGCTATTCAGAGCACAACAGGCACAGCTCTGATTCAGACCACCGATGACGGATGGACAGAGGCTGGGCATACTACTGATGGATGATTTCTGCCAGTCAGTTACCTCCCCAGAATGTGAGACTACAGAGACTCATGGGTAAAGGCTCATGAGAGGTGAGCTACCTTTCAAGTGTGAAAGTTTCCCTGTGACAACTCACGATATCTGAGTGTACAATGAGCCACCTCGAGTAGCTCGTTGCCCTGGATCAGAAACTACCCATATGTTGGAGTGTCTGGTCTCCTATCAGTGGCTTCCTTCCAGAACTGAGGACATCTACAGCATCCATTGTGATTATGGGAGAGGGGGGGGGGGAGGAGGCTTTGGCAGGCACACAGGCTCCTTTAAGTAAAGCTAAGCATATCATGCCCCCAATGTTAAAGGGGACAGCAAGCGAGGACCTAAACTGATTCCTAAAATTCTTCAGGCAGGTCACTGTATGTAATGGATAGACTCAGGAAATTTCATGAAGATACACTTAATATATTTAGATTTATATTATATATATAGTTTCATGGTTACAAAATGAACGAGCTCAGATACAGATAGTTTTCAATGTATAGTGAAGAAAGGTTGTAAAATGTTTCATAAATTAACATTTAAATTTGAATTGGAAATAATCCAATTGCTCTGATTTCACTCTTAACTTCTGTGAGAGTCTCTACTGCCAGAACTTAAATTTGATCAGTACTTTTCACATTGATACAACCATTCTAGTATAAACTATCTTACATAGTTCAGGCAAACTTCTGCTGGTATCATGTCAAAATTCGTTACCTGTCTATAAAGTCTGGAATCCAATAACTACTGAGTGATAAATGCTTTTTTTTCTAACCATTATTCCTGGAACTCATCATCATCATTTTGTAAAATGATACAAAAGTTTTTTCCTTGGCTTTTTAACTTAAATTAGGGTTGTTCTCTTTTACAATTTCAACACATCACTGTATTCGCTTTTGTTTAGACTATCTTAATTTAATATCTTCAATGCCAAGACTTAAGAAAATAAAGCTTTTTCATTTGTTCTAGATTGAAGTTGAAATTTGAAAATCAAGTAAGAAATTCCTATGAAAATTTTCCCAGTTGCCTTTTTAGGGCAGTATCTCATTTTGCCAACTAAACTGTTTAATTTGTTATTACAAGTGTATAAAACCTTTGTGATTTTTTGGGTAAAACATAAAGAGTCTTTAGACTTAAAGTTGGCTTACTTGACATCATATGTAGAATTGTTAAATACAAACAAAAAAGCTCAACATTTATCATTTGAACTATTTGTTTAACTTACCAAAAAATACACATGGTAACCCTAAGGTGCTTTTTTTTAATTTGCTACTAAATCAGCCTTTTCTTTTTCCAAAAGCTTGTTACGTTTTATGTGACAAGAGATACTCTTATAGAGTAAACATCTAGTTATCTCCACCACCAAAGGTGATGGAGGTTACGTTTTCATCCCTGTGTGTTTGGAATATGATTAAACTTGGAAGTAATTAGTTTTTGGAGTCAAGGTCATGAAAATAAAAAAAATCCCTATTTATTTGCACTATTTTTGCTATGTAACTCAGTCAAAAATGATCAGATTTTGATGAAATTTGGTGGACCTATGTAGAATATTGATCCTCATTGTCTTGCCAAAAATGGACCATGTTTGTTAATAACAACAGATGTACGGACACATTTTCGTATTTTTCGAGGAACGAATATGATCAACGCTGCCCCTCTAGGTTTGACATGCATTGTAAATTAAATGGATAGTTAATGTAATACTGTTCTTACTATACAAGTATTTATTAGGTATAATAAAGTTGACATTGTAATATTAATGACTTACTTGATGCTTTTTATAATTTTAAATTACATCTTTGTAATACTGTGCATTATTGTCAGATTTAAAAAAATAATAGTGATTTGAAATAAATGGCTTTACTTATATTTCTTAATAGTATATATATATATGTTGTTGATGGGCTTAGGATTCTTCTACAGTAGGTGTCTGTGACTTGATAGTGATAAATTAAATGATGAATAAACAGCACACACTTTACTTGTTTTCAAATAATATATATATATGGAACAAGTTAAATGTATATACAACAAAGTTTTCATGCTATAGAGATCACAGGCACATCATAAACACTATTTATATATATATAGTTCTCTTCTTCTTGTCAAAAGTCCACTTAGGCCTATTCAATTACTTTAGAGTTTCAGTTGATACGTTGAACTATCTTCTCTATATTACTGTCGTACTAGTATTCTGTGTGTGTGATTCACTTACACTGGTCACAGTTGTGGTGCAAGTTACCGTAATTCGTTTGGTCTTCTTTCTTCTGAAGATCCTCTGGTCCTTTTTTCAAAGTGTAACCAAGCTGATTCAATTACTTGAGAACCATGCTTTGATAAAATTATCCTTCTTATCTTTTTTATTCTGTTAATTTCACTCTAACATATTAAATGTTAGGCCTATGTCAGTCGATTGGTCTATCACATCTACGATACTGTACTTCACACAGCTATATTCTCTTTTGATATTATCTGTCTATTGTTGTCTCATGCTATTTATATCTTTATTACATAGTCGTCTGACGACTTTCTATATTCTCGACACCAATTAGTTGTTAACAAAACCTTCTACAATCATCTGCTTTTAACTCTTATTATAACAAAACGTAAAAATAATAAAGTATTCGCTTACAAATATAAATTAATCACTAATATTTAAACCAAACAATCTTACTTTTTTACTATCTAAGTGGTTTGAACAAAATGTACAGCTTAGTAAAGTGTTTGTGGCAAAATAGATATTTCCTGTTGAGCACATCTCTTGTCAACTGCTTATTTCCACACTGGTGTCCAGAATTTGTATCTTGAATTTTAGTGTACGTACAATTTCTGTCAATATGTTTTATTGTTTTGAAAAGTCACATATAAATTTTGTACAGAGATGATAAGCGATATGAAAGTTTAAGGGAATTGACCTTAATTCTTGTACACATTTCTGACACATAAATGCCCATCTACCACCACAATGTACAATGCTGATTCTTTGTAGTTGTTGACAGGTATCCCACAAACCAAAGAGTATCAGCCATATAGAAGCAGCATCAATACCATATGTTGCTGCCACAGTCTGGTCAGCTCTTTGTGTTGTTGGAGAGCTTAGAAGAGATACAGCAAGAGGAATGAGGTAATGTAAAAGCTCTCACTAAGCACATATTTAAATGTTTACAATTTGCATTTTAGTGAAAAATAATGTTTTTGTTTTCTGAAAACTTTCATTATGAACATGATCACTTATTTGTAACTAGGTTCATAATGCCTAAAAGTAACAAGGTAGCTGAACAGATATGTAGTTGTTTTGTATGAATATTTTAAAATTAAGCAGACATGTTTAATTGTCCTGTGAATTATTGATAGTGATCCTTACTTATCCTTTAATCTGGTAGTATTAAGTGTTGCAATCACATCATCCATAAAAAAAAAAACATTTTTAAAACTTATCAAACTGGAAAGCTGAGCACCGAAACCTCTGGTTCGCAAGAAAACAAGTTATGTATGTCTTTATTATTCTCTATAATAAAAGTATTAAGGCTGTCATCTGCTCTCTTAGGTAATGAACAAAGTGTTTTGGAATGTACATTTTGATGTTCTTGCAAACCTCACTCCACTTTTGCCCCCCCAGTGGCACAGCTGTATGTCTGCGGACTTACAATGCTAGAAACCAGGTTTCGATACTCCTGGTGAGTAGAGCACAGATAGCCCTTGTGTAGCTTTGTGCATAATTAAAAACAACCAACCAACCAGTCCACTTTCAAAATTTTTTTTGTAAATTTGTCACATAAGTAAGTTAAAAAATGAGACAACAGAAATGCACTTACAAGAGCCACTTAGTTCTTGATTTAAAAGTTAACTTATTTTCTGATGATTGTTGACACAGTTGCTCACGGTATTTGTTAAATATTTCTTTATTTAAAATGACGGTATATTTCTGTTAGTATTTTAAAGTTTATGTTTACGATTACGTATTAATATTTCTTTATATTAATTATTGAGACTTTTAATTCAAAGTAAAACTGATTGATTAAATTCATTTATTTACTGATAGTGTTAAGTATGGTAAAGTTTTAGCTCTAACTAAAGCAAAAAATATACACAAATTACAGTGTTATCTTATTTCTTTATTGAATATAGGCCATACTTTATAAAGGGTTATGGATTTTGGCAGAGTGTATGATTCAAATTTGTTTTCTCTTTGTAATATAAAAAATTCTCAGTCTTCATTTTTCTGTGTCACATTATGACTCTGAACTCCAGTTTCTTCCTTTCAGAATTCTCTAACATTAAAATAGGCTGTTGCAGTGTCCAATCAATTATAGATAATGACAAGGAAGAATCTGGAATTTGAATATCTTTTTTTTTTTTTATTATATATATATTTTAAATTTGTCAAACCCACCACTGAAACCCTCTCCTCTGTCTCTCTCTCTGATTTTTGAGGTTGTTTGCTAATCAACTTTACATGGATGTGTTTTATAACCAACAGAAGGTGTAGATCCTCCTCTATATAAGTCTTACAAAATGTTGTTCAGTTTTTCCCACTATCAACTGTTACTGAGCAGAATCGATTTATTTGTAGTGACCATATGTTGTTGCTTTGAATGCTAAAGGAAATTTCTTTAACCTATTTATGGCTTACTATAATAGTTATGGTAGAGACTGGTAACGTTTTATCTAAAATACATATCTGAAAGATACATGAATTTTTTTTTGGCCAAATTTTGAAACTCAGTGAGGCTTATGAAAGAATGTCTACTTATGTGCAAACTGTTTGAGTATGCAGTGAGTACTTATTTGTTATGATATATTTTTTAAGAAAAATTGTAGACTGCTCAGTCAGCTTAACCTAACAAACTTCAGTAATATAAAATGTCTAAAATTGCAGAAGTTTGAGCATGTGTAACATGGAACCTGACAATAGTGGGAAACATATAATGGGCTCCCAGTGATTTATTGCTTTTAATCTGATGATTATTGCTTCATTAATAAACAGTATAGAAATAAAAACCATAAAATTAAAAGAAAGTAGATCTGAATAGGTCAAAAGTTAAAGCTGTTAAGATAAATATTTGGAGTAATTTTAATCTTACTGATCAATACTACAATCATTGCAAAGAAAAACAGTGGTATTATTTATTTTATTTCATATTTTTGAACTGTTAGTGTTGGGGTAGAGAAAATAAGAGATTTACTATAAAGTTTTATCAAATAAATTTATTCATTTAGTAGGTTCCAGAGGTTATGGAGATGAAATATTTTTATTGTTGGCATGAAAAGCTCTTTTTCACTCAGACCAATCAGTAAAAATTTCCTAAGTTAACGCCTTTAGTAAAAACAAATACTTTATTAAAAATCCTCATTTTTTATATACAACAGATTTGTAATGTTTACTAAATTTTGTGAAGATACATTTAGTCAATTCAGAATTACAGTAAACGTTATTTTGTGTAGCTTCATAGATACAGAGTCAGTCAGTTCATTAATAGATGTTTAAACATCTATCCAATTCAGCCTCGATACAGTATAATTAATAACATCTGAATGTAAACATAAATAACTAAGGTAATACTGATAAAAACAAAATATTCTCTAGAACAAATTGTATAATAACTACCTCTAAGACAACTCTATTGTTTTAATTAACTAGATATATTAAGTTTGGTGTCAATTTAGTTATCATAGTGCAATTTCAAAAATTATTGTTAAAGCTAGAAAAAAATTAATGTATTCAATGTAAGCAACGTTGGGCACTGGTTGAGAAAGAGGCAAGGCTTTAAACATTCTCTAAACAAAATATTTTACAGCAACTGTTTCATCCAGTGTTTTAATAATTTTCCCCTGTTAAAGATTTTAAAAACAATTTGACTGAATGTGTAACATTTTTTCTCTCTGTTTGAATCATGTATAGATACTGTTTAGTTAGTAAAAGGAAAAGCTGTGAACTCTGCTTGCAAGAGAATGAGTAACTTATCAATATCTTGCCTGAATATACAAATTGAATTAGCCGATTTTCTTAGTGTATAAGGTTTCTACCTTCTTAAACTATTTATCTCAACACTTTTTGTTTGTAAAATTTGATTCAGAAAGCAATATGTACATATAATGTTGTACTTTTCTGCAGGTCGTTAGTATGTGCGGGCTCAGGAGGAATTGGTACATTTGCTATTCAGGTATGCCTAACATATAGTTAGAGATGATTGAAGAAATACTTTTTCAGTACTATTTTCTTAGAAAATAAAGTACTACGTCTAGTTTACTATGGTAAAACTGTGTAATATACTCGAAGTGAACTGGATGTCACCTAATCAGTTTGCAGTTTAAACGTATTGATGATAATTAATTTGAATATGCACTGATTTTAAATTAAACTGTAGGACTGCACTACAAGGAATTGATTTCAGTAAAAAGATAACATTTTCTTATAATGCCACATACCATATATTTTTTTTATTTAACAAATGACTGGCACTAATTCAAACTTTTCTTATTAGAGAAGTTTCCTTTGTGTGTTATAAAATTGGTAAATATTATTATATGAATTAATGTTTGATTGTGAAACAAGTTAGTTGTAGTGCAATTTTGTAAAACAAAGTATAAAATAATGATAATAAGGAAATTACTTATAATTATCTAAATGTAAAACATTTGTAATTAGTATTACATAATAATAAGTGTATATGTGTTAGAGTTAATGAGCCTTTTAAAATATAATTAAAAGTCAGCTCTTAAAATGTGACTCTTTCCCCCTTCCATTAGATCAAACACTTGTAGGAGAAGTCTTAAGTATTTGTTTTTTTGTTTCAGTTGAAAAACATTGACAAAAATTGAAATATCCACAGGATTATTTAGTTTTTGTTCAGCGTTATTTTGTAATTATTCCATTTCAATGGCCTAACTACTGAGGATTATATTTTCTCCCAAGCTTATAGAAAAATGCCAATGATTAGCTAATAATATTTCCTCTGTATTATAAAAATAGCTATTTAACTGATATGGGACTAAAAATGTATCAAATTTTAAATCTGTCTTTTCTGTTGTTGTTCTAAAAGTTAGATTTAATTTATGATTTTCTTTTTTTATGAATAATGATTGCAGTTTTTTGTAATTGTTTTACTTTAAGGTTTATGCCAACAGCCTTTTCAATTTATCACACACATTCCTTTGAACATGCTAAGGAATTAAAAAAAAAATCACTGAAAATATTTATTTATTTATTATGTTATTTGTTTTTCATACCAATAGCTACTGAGAGCATGGGGAGCTCATGTGACTACCACATGCAGTACAGAAGCTGTTCACTTAGTGACACAGCTTGGAGCAGATGAAGTTATAGACTACAGTACCCAAAATGTTATGGAGGAGTTAAAGATGTTGAAAGGGTATAAACAAATTGTTTTATTCTCACCCTGTATAATAAATTGGATGTTAGGTAAACAGGGCCAGTACCAAGTAGTTTAAATATGTGTGTAATAGGGTTATTGTTTATATACATATTTAAAAGATACTATGTTGTAGGTGTGGCTGTATCATATCACAGAGTTTGTAATATTCATGGTATATTTGAGAATGTTTCTGTGTGACTTGATACTTTCCACCAAAATGACATTAGTTTTTGATAGACGTATATTTCTTTGAATAGAGGAATGAAACACTATGATTTGTTATTACAACCCTTGGAAATATGATTATTATCCTGTGAATGCAAATGATTTGTAAAGTTAAATACACGGTTTACAGGTCTGTGTCATTGATGTCTGGAATGTTAGCTTGCTTATTATTATTTCATATTATGCTTTAGTTATCATAATTACCAGAATAGAATTGTGGGTGTTAAGATTCACATTAGACAACCATTAAATCCAAAGTTCAGAGTCAAATACTAATTTTCCCAAGAAATAAGCTACTTCACAGGTTTGTTGCTAAGTAGGAATACTCAACAAAAACTAAAATATTAAAAATTATGCAGTAGAAAATTCTAAAAATATTTAAAAAAACCAATCAATTCATGCACTGAGTGTAATCAATTTTTATTAAATACAGATTTTCTGTTTCACAGGTTTGATATTATCCTCGATTCCATAGGACAAGAAAATGCAGATTTTTATCTCGACTTACTGAAAAGTTGGTCCAACAGTAAATATGTAACCATAGTGCCACCTTTCTTGATGAATACTGATAAGTATGGTGTGATTGGAGGTACCCTATTGTCATTAGTGCAAGCATCTTTGGATACTGCAAAAGTGAGCATATGTTTGCCATCTAAATGAAATGAATACAAGATGTCCCATTAAGAAAATACTCTGGACCTTTCTTCATGTAACTGGAACTTGTGAAGGCCAATAAGTCACTTAGTGCAAGATTCTAAAAAGCTTTGTGAAAAAAATTCCACTGTGCATAAATGAATGTCAAGCTACAAAACATCTTGTTAGTTGAAGTTTCTTCTATCAGAGCTGAAAACTCCTAGAAATATATACTTTCTTTAGTGAGTGAAGAATGGTCCTAGAGTTTTTTATTTTTATTTTAAAATATTGCCACATCGTGAGTTTGAAGTCATATTTATCTTATTCCCATGTTATGATCAAGTGATAATTGTTGCCAGACTTATTTAAACCCATCCTTGTTATGCAAGAGGTTTGATTTAAATAGTTAATTATCTACTCATTATATAGATAAATTGAAAACACCATCCAAATATACTCAGATTAATCTGTATAAATAAGCGTTTTCTTGATCTTTAAGCAAGTATTTCATTAAACAGTGCATGAATTTTCACCACGTTTTGTTAATGGGCATTAAGCATTGCAGACGACACTGCTAACTTGAGTATGATATAATTTTAGAAGTCCTATTCTGTATATATGGGACGGCATGACGTAATGGTTAGTGCTTTGGACTCGTAGTCAAAATGTTGTGTGTTCCAGGCTTGCCAGGGACAGATTATTGTGTACTTGAGTAAGGTACTTTACCACAATTGTTTCAGTCTACCCAGCTTAATAGCGGATAGCAGCAGGTAGCGGGGAGGTAATCGTTCTTATCCTGTTTGTACCTCAGAAAATCAGAGTTAAGCACCAACCTAATGAGCCTTGTGAAGACACGACAAAGATGAACGTATATTTTTGATAATTTTATTCTATATATCATTTAGTGGGTGATATTGCCCTTCCCTCTACTTTATCACTAGCGCAGATAGCCCTCAAGTAACTTTACATGAAATTCCACAAACAACAACAATACTTAATTACGAAAATTTGCTTTGTTATTAAATATTGTATACAAAAATCTTGTGGTAGAGATTCTGCATCTTTACATTTAACCTTTTTTATTGTATATACTATTGCAGTTACTATACTATTTCAATTGTGCTTGTACTGGACTCATACTATGAGATTCAGGAATATCTTGTTTTTATAATGGATATAAATTTTTTTTCCAGGGCTTGAAAGATGGCCGTAGTTTGAGGTGGGCTCTATTTGCTCCCAGTGGTTGTGTTTTAAAAACTATTAGTCAGATGGTGGATAACGGTGAGGTAACTAATAGCCTCTTTTTCATTAATTAATTTTTTTAATGAACCAAACTTTGAATTATTGGTTTCTAGTATTGACATTCAAGGTCCTAAGTAAGCTGGTGTTTTATGCCTTAACAGAGGTTTTGGGTTAGATATAAATGATGTTTCATAATTCTGAATTTCTTTTATCTCTTCCAAAAAACGAATTTAACATTTCTTAGATGCTGTTTGAGTTTAATGCACTCACTAATGACAGATAACATCTTGAAAAAAGTATCAAGTATCAAAAAACTTAATACACTATTAAAAAGTGAGAATTATTTGTTAATTTATTTTGAGCATTTCAATAAAAAATAATATCTGATATATTAGTTTTCCACATGAGTGTAACAATTTCCAGAAACCAATTACAGCAAACCAACTCAAAGTCACCTCATTTTAGTCATGGGAATACCTGTAGAAGTGTAGGAAGTTATTATATGCTTAAAACAATGATGTCTGGCTAGACACAAAAATATCTATAAACAACAATTGAAGTTAAACTACCTAAAAGGAACTTGCTGAAGCTAGCCAATATATGTTAATGACAGAGAAAAAGTTTCCTCAAAACTTGTCGTTTGAAAGAACCCACAAAAGTGAATAAGAAATAAAAATCTTAAGTTGATTATTTTTAAATTTCTGGTAGTCTATATCTTTAAGCTCAAGGAAGTTATTATGATTTTTGAGTGTATAATGTTTCTAGTTTTTCAACTTTGATGAAGTATTATAATGCGTTGAATAAATGTTATTTACCCTAAACTATAAATTTCTAAATGAAGATTTATAATTGTTAGTTATTGCAGGATTCAGTAAAAGAAAGTTTCAAAAGCTACTTTGGTGAATTTCACAATTATTGATTGAAAGGATTAGATTAAATTTTTGAGCCTTGTAGATAGTGCATACCCTAGATTTACAGGGACTTGATTTTTAAAGAAACAAAACTCAATTTTGAGAAGTTTTTTTTTCAGTAATTTGGCTTAAATTTTTACCCAAATTAATAACCTAAAAGAATGTTACTGGAGTAAATGAAAACAAGAAGTTTTACGTGTTAATAATACGGCTGACCTCTACTTTGCATTTCCTAGTTTAGAATGATTAAGGAAATGTATTCCATTTATGTTTTGCATGTTAGTGGTACAACTGACCCTTATATTGTGTTTCCTAGTTTAGAATGATTAAAGAAATGTATTCTGTTTATGTGTTGCATTGTGATGGTATGGCTGACCCTAAAATTATGTTTTCTAGCTTAAAATGACTAAAGAAATGCATTCCAAGTTAGTGGTACATCTGACTTGTACATTGTATTTCCTACTTTAGAATGATTAAAGAAATGTTTTCCATTTATGTTTTGCATGTTAGTGGTACAGCTGATACTTATTTTGTGTTTCCTAGTTTAGAATGATTAAGGAAATGTATTCTGTTTATGTTTTATGTATTAAAAAATTTGACAGAGAATAAAAGTTAACTAATCCTGATTGAAAAATGCATTTTAATTGTTTATGTGGCCATACTCTATCAAGGAAGATGGATATGCAACTGGTTTTTAACCTGAAAAGCATATTTATCAATTTACATTAAAGTTATAAAAATTTAACACTTAGTAATGTCATGCAGGGCTGGTTTTATGAAGTTCCAGTTTTTCAGGTAGAAACATTATCTATTACACAGATAGGAAAACCACACTTGCTTAAGAATTTCTTGATATTATTTACATACCGTTCATAGAATAATGGTTTAAAAGACAGTGGACATTCACCCAACCATTGTTTTTCATATAAACAAAGAAAAAGTTTGGTCACAGAAAGAGATAGTCTGGAACCAATAGTAACACCGTAAGTATGATCGTAAAGGTCACAACGATGGTGCTTTACTGGCTAGTTACTGCAATCCCACTCAATCTACAGTTAGTTGATGTGTACATACATAGTGGTTACTTGTGAAGAGAATAAACTATTTTTTATTGTAATTACAAAATGATAATAAAAGACAAAATTATAAGAGATCATTAGTGTTTTACCAAAAGTTGTTCCAGTTCTTTACGTTTTTTTATTTTGAACTCAACTTATAATTGACATTGCATGTATGTGTGCTTATAT